CTCCTGGGTTCTCTCCCTGGCTCTGGGAGAGGAGTGGGGTCTAGTGGTTAGACCGGGGCGCTGGGAGCCAGGACTCCTGGGTTCTCTCCCTGGCTCTGGGAGAGGAGTGGGGTCTAGTGGTTAGACCGGGGCGCTGGGAGCCAGGACTCCTGGGTTCTCTCCCTGGCTCTGGGAGGGGAGTGGGGTCTAGTGGTTAGAGCGGGGCGCTGGGATCCAGGACGCCTGGGTTCTATGCCTTTCCCTCCCCCCTCCACCCTGGCATCAGTTGACAGTTGGCAAATCTCTCCCTCCCAGATATAATCACCTCTGACAGCCCAGCAGGCATTACCGTCTCTTCACACCCAAGGGCTCTGTCTCCCCAGCCCTGCACCCAGCCGTGTTATTGCCATGTAGGGGGACCAGACAGCAAGTGTGAAAAATCGGGGCGGGGGGTGGGGGTGGGGTAATAGGAACCTATATAAGAAAAAGCCCCAAATATCGGGACTGTCCCTATAAAATCAGGACATCTGGTCACCCTATTGCCACGGCACATTCCCAGCCTGCTCCCAGGGGCCCAAAATCATCCCCCCACCCCCCGCGGTGCCCTCACGGGCTTGGTAACCATGGCGCAGCCAGGAGGGAAAGATCACGTCACGCCCCCGGGACTGGCCCCCGAGGACCCAACAGGCAATGGAACTGCATGGTATGCGCTCATGTCTAGAGAACCCAGGCGTCCTGGCTCCCAGCCCCCTGCTCTAACCCCTCTCCCCTCCCAGAGCCAGAGAGAGAACCCAGGCGTCCTGGCTCCCAGCCCCCCTGCTCTGACCCCTCTCCCCCCTCAGAGCCAGAGAGAGAACCCAGGTGTCCTGGCTCCCAGCCCCCCTGCTCTGACCCCTCTCCCCCCTCAGAGCCAGAGAGAGAACCCAGGTGTCCAGGCTCCCTCCTTTTCCCTTGCGGGGTAGTGCCACTGAACTCTGCCCTGTCAGCCCTTTTGGGTAGTGACAGTCGTGGGAAGCAGGATTCTCTCACCTGCCTTCTCGGGGACCCCCTGTCCCCCAACAGAGTCCCCCTGTCTTGCTAAGGAAGCCCTGGTCACCGGCCGGCCAGGACCCCTCCAGCCGCACCAGCTATCTAGGCTCCCCTGCGTCCTAATCCTGGGGGGGGGGTTGGCTTCTCAGGAAGCAGCTGAGTTGGCTGGGGAGAGGTAATGGGTTGGGGCGGGGGGAGCCCGGACTCCTGGGTTCTCTCCCTGGCTCTGGGAAGGGAAGGGAAAGGGGGTGGGGGCAGAGCCAGGATTCCTGGGTTCTATCTCCAGTTCAGGCAGGTCCTTTCCCGTCTTGGGAGTCTGTTTCCTTGCCTTGCAGCAGGCTGGTCATTGCAAGCCAAGGAATGGGTTGGCTCCCACCCCGGGGGGGGGGGGGGCAGTTAATTTTAGGGTGACCAGACAGCAAGTGTGAAAAATCGGGACGGGGGCTGGGGGTTAATAGGAGCCTATATAAGAACAAGACCCCAAAATCGAGACGGTCCCTATAAAATCGGGACATCTGGTCAGCCATTAATTTCAATGGAGGTGGATGTTCAGGGAGACACGCAGCGGGTGGGGGATCCACGCAGAGCCACAGAAACCCTCCCCAGCCCCCAAGCTACCTTTGCCACCCACTCCGGGCACCTGCCCCCCGGGAGCCTTTCTCTGGGCACAGGGGCCTTCGCCTCTAGAGGGTGCCGGCTCCGATCCTCCTCCAGGTGGGCGACTGGCTGGCTCGGCTCGGGGGGGGGGGGGCGCGAAATCGGACACTCATAGACATGTCAGCCTGGAAGGGACCTTGCTCGGCCGTCCAGGCCAGTCCCCTGCACCGAGGCAGGGCTAGGTATTACCCCCGGCCGGGGTTTGTCCCACCTGTTCTTCAAAACCTCCAGTGATGGCGATTCCACAACCTCCCTGGGCGATTTACCCCAGTGCTTCACCACCCTGACAGGTAGGAAGTTTTTCCTAACGTCCAACCTAAACCTAAACCTCCCTTGCTGACGTTCAAGCCCATTGCTCCTTGTCCTGGCCGCAGTGCACAAGAACCATCCGTCACCCTCCTCGTAACCTTGTACTTAAAGACTGTTATGTCGTCCCCCTGCCTCCGTCTTCTCTTCTCCCGACTAATTTCAATCTGCCCTCCTAGGCCATGGTTTCTAGACCGTTAATCGTTTTTGTTGTGCTTCCCTGGACTCTCTCCGATTTGCCCACATCTTTCCCCGCGTGCGGCGCCCAGAACCGGACGCGAGACTCCAGGTGAGACGTCATCAGCGCGGAGTAGAGCTGAAGAATCACTTCTGGTGTCTTGCTTACAACACTCCTGATGAGACATCCCAGAAGAACGGCCTCTGGTTTTGCCACATCATCGCACTGGTGACTCACTTTTAGCTGTGATCCACTCTGAGCCCAGCTCCCGTTCCGCAGTTCTCCTTCCTAGGCGGCCATTTCCCATTCTGTGTGTGTGCAACTGATTGTTCCTTCCGAAGTGAAGCACTTTGCATTTGTCCTGATTGAATGTCATCCTATTTACATCAGACCATTTCTCCAGTTTGTCCAGTTCAGTTTGAATCTTACTCCTGTCCTCCAAAGCACTAGTGTGATGAAGTGGGGGGTTTTCTTAGTGTTTTGCATGAACATGGTGTGTGCCTCAGTTTCCCTCTGTGCTGCATACATAACACGGGGGTAGGAGGGGGTTTGTGGTTGCAGGGGACCAGGTGTGACCTTGCCTTGCAGCCGGGACCCCAGACACCAGCCTGGAGATTGGGAGCCAGCCGGTTCTGGCCAGTGGGGAGCCACTGGGCTGAGGAGAGAGGGGCCCAGGGACCTGACCAGCCTGGGGGGAACAAAGGACAGAAGAGAGGGGACCGGCGGCCTATTCACCTGGGACCGAAGACAAAGGGCGGAGGAGGGGCGGGTGGGGGAGGGGATTTAGGGGGCTGGGCTGGAAGGAGGGGGCGGGGTGGGGTTGGGCTGGGGACAAGGAGCAGCCGGACCCATGGGGACCAGACAGACCCAACTGGCCGGGGCTGAGACTGGCCAGGCCCGAGGGCCCTGAGAACTGCCTGGGCTGGGTCCAGACGCTCAATACATCTCCTGTGTGACGCTGGCAGAGTCACTGCAGCTAGAGATCGGGGGGCGTTGCTCCCTCTGGGGGTGGGGGCCCCGGAGGCCAGAGCGAGGGGACTCCCTGAGGGGGCCCACGGCAGAGCCAGGCTGCTGGGGGCTCAGAGAGGTGCGGTCCCAGGAGGCGCTGGTGCCTAGGGCTTAACCCCCATGAGAGATCGTGACCCCGAGAAGGGCTGTCACACTGGGGGGTTCGTCCCAGGGGCCGTACGGAGCCGAGAGAGCCTGGGGGCTGGGAGTCCGTGACAGCTTGCAACCCCTCCCAACTTGGTATTGTCCTCAGACTTTAAGAGTGCGTTCTCCGTGCCATTATCCAAATCACTGAACAGAACCCGACCCAGGACAGATCCCTCCAAGGGATCCAGATCCACTCAAGGGGTCCTTCCAACCTGACTGCGAACCACTGATCACTGCTCCCTGGGAGCGGTTTTCCAACCACTGGATTTCTCTGGTTTGTGTATGAGACGGTCGTGTGAGACGGCATCAGGCCCTGCCGACTTGAAGACATGGAACTTAGCTAAGTCATTCTTAACTCGCTCTTTGCCTGTTGTAGCCTTGGGTCCTGCCCCGTGTCCGCTGACATTCACTAGGGTAGTCGGCTGATGAAAACGGAAACAAAAAGGGCATTTAACACTTCAGCCATCGCTTCGTTTTCTGTTCCTGGCTTTCCCTCCTCACCGAGTAACGGGCCTGTCCCATCCATTGGCTGATCCGTGCTGTTTCCTTAGCAGCGCGAGCGCTGTCATTTCCCGATCCCTTTCACCCAAGCTGCCTTCCACCTTCAGCGTCTCAACCAGTGCCTCCCTTTGGGGCACAACCAAATCCAGAACCGCCTCCCCCTCGCGGCTTTCGCCAAAGCTGTCTCCACTGCATTCCAAGATCTGTGCCCGGCTGGGTTATTTTCCTGACCGATCCCTGGGTGGTTGAAATCCCCCGGCATCACCACGTCCTGGGCTGTGGATGATTGTGTGAGTTGTTTAAGAAAAGCGTCCTCCACCTCTTCTTCCCGGTTAGCTGGTCTGGAGCCGCCCCTACCATGGCCCCCCACCTGGTTTTTACCCCTTTTATCCCTAACTAGAGACTTTCAAGAAGTCTGTCTCCTAGTCCCAGCTCAGCCTCAGAGCGGGTGCAGACACCTTTGCTATACAAAGCAACCGCTCCGCCCTTTGTCCCTGAGTAAACTGTGCCCTTCTGTACCCCTATTGCAGTCATGGGACTTAACCTGTCAAGTCATTGTGATGCACCTTCTGTCGCAACTGGGGTTATTCACTGGGATGTCTGGCCTCTGGGCACTGAACAGTGGTTAAAGCCCATTTCACTAGGTCAGCCCCCTGCACCCAAAGAGCCCCGTCCCCTTCCCCTGCTCAGGGTCCTTCTATGGGATATGGGGTTCTGGCATCATATACCCTCATCCCAACACACCTGTGGGCCTGGTATAACCATGGGGCAGGTGGGTGGGGACTGGAGAATTGGCCACACCCTGGATTTCACAGGGCAGGGGGGCCTGGGAGCAAGAACTCCTGGGTTCTCTCCTCAGCTCTGGGAGGGGAGTGGGGTCTAGTAGGTTAGAGCAGGGGGGGCTGGGAGCCAGGACTCCTGGGTTCTATCCCAGTTCTGGGAGGGGAAAGGAGTCTAATGGTTAGAGCAGGGGGGCGCTAGGACTCAGGGCTACTGGGTTCTATCCCCAGCTGTCCTGCACAGATTTCCCCTCTTTCTGCCTCAGTTTCCCTGCCTGTATAATAGGGTGTCACGGAGTGTGGGGGGACACAAGGCCCTGCACCCACGGCTTCCTGCGATTCACTATAACTCTCAGCCAGCCAGTAAAGCAGAAGGTTTATTTAGACGACAGGAACACAGTCCAAGACAGGTCTTGCAGGCACAGACAATAGGACCCCCTCAGTTAGGTCCATCTTGGGGTCCCAGGGCACCCCAGCCCCCTTGGGAGGTCAGAGCCCCGTCTGCCTCCCAGCCATGTCACCAGCCAGCTCTGAAACTCCCTCTAGCCTTTGTTCAGTTTCCCGGGCCAAGGTGTCACCTGGCCTCTAACCCCTTCCTGGGTTCTCACGATACATGCTCAGCTATTCTCCGTCGGTCAGTCTCCCATCCCCCAATGCAGACTATCCCAGCCAACCTCCACTGTCAGCATTCAAAGACCACAGTAAGAACAGGCCCAGTTCGTCACATAGGGTTGGAAAGGTTTCCCCAGGGATGGAAAGGTTTGTCAGGGTCCACAATTAACCTGTGTTAATTGCTTTGAGATCCAGGGCTGGACGCAACCGCAGAGACCGCTGCTGGGGCAGCTCGGGGAGATGGTGCCAGGCTCCCTACTCCGGGGGGAATTCTGCGCCAAAAATCCAAAAAGTTCTGCGGACAACGTTGTAACCCACTGTGCATTTTGTCAGAATAATCCCATCTCATCCCCTCACTTTCAACTATTTTGGTAATTTATTGCAAAATCCCTATCAGCGAGTCTGTCTGTAACGACACAGATGATCCCCAAGAAGCAGAAAGGGACAGGAACTCGGGGAGGGGGGAATAGGTGCCCCCCACCCTCCTGAAATGGCACCCCTGGCCAAGGCTCCCCATGGCTTCCCCACAGCTGCCTGGGTCAGCCCCACGCCTCTGCGGGTCAGGCGCAGTGACATGGACAAGGGGCGCACATGGGGGCTGCCTCCCAATGGGAGCACAGGCCCCTGGCTGCACAGAGGTTGGGGGGATCACCCTGCAGCCCCCCGACACAGACGCAGCAGTGCACCCGACACAGCAGAAGGGCCTGCTTCTCTGCAGCGGGCACACTGCAAGAGCGAGCGAGAGGGACAGTCTGGCACGCACACCCAGCCCCGGTGGTGATTTACATCCCCCCGGCTGCTCCCAGCACGCCTGCTGCCGGGGAAGAGCGCATGGCCCCTCGCGTTCCTTCCCCAGCGGAATCTCATATTCTGCAGGGAAAGAAAAAAAATCTGGGGGGACCCAAATTCTGCATATGCGCAATGGTGCACAATTGCCCAAGGAGTGTCTCACAGCTGCTGGTTGGCTAAGGTGTCCACCCCCCCTTATTTACCCAGACCCCACTCTTGGTAGCTGAGAAGGGAGCTCTTTTATAGGCCTGGTTCCTTCCCAGCATGCCTCGCTGCCCAGCTTACAACACCCATCAACCCTGGGACTACATCTCCCACAATTCCTTTCTGCCAGGGCTGCAGCCTTAAAGGGGCAGCATCCCTTATTGGAGGGGGTGTCTGGGGCTGGCTCTATCCCAGCCCCATGGAGTTCACCAGGCAGAAAGACCTTTCCCATTCTAACTGGGACGGAGCCCCGCCAGCATTGCGCCTGGCTCTGGGGTGGTGTCCGGCTGGCTGGGCCTGTTTGCAGGGGTCAGGGTGGGGGGTTCCCTTTTTCAAGCAGTGGGGGCTCTGGCCAGGGCTTACCCCTCCCTGGAGAGGAAGGAAAGGAAAAGGAAACTATCACACCAAGAGAAAGGGTGGGGGGCGAGTTCAGCTCTCGGGAGTCGGGGAAAGGGATGGAAGCCGATTCTCCTTCCCTCTTGCCCTTTCTCTGGGCCAAGACCACGGGCAGGTTCCTGCTGCTGTTCCTGGGGCGGGAGGCGAGGGGGTCTGGGCCCCCTGGGCTATATGGGGGGGAGAGCAAATCCAGGGAACAGGCTGGGAAAAGTGAGGGAGCAGCGCCCTCTGGTGGGTAACCGCCTTCGGAGGCACACTCGATTCCAATAGGTCCAACACAACTTTATTCTCGCGGCAGCGGTTCATTTCCAACCCCCCCACCCACGATTAAGTCACATTCACAGACAGGGCTCCCTGCCCAGAGTGGGAGCCCTGCTCCCAGCTCTAGGCCCGGAGGTGCTGACGCCCCGCGGAGCAGAGACGGAGACAGTCCAGCTAGTGCAAACAGAGTGGGTGGGAAGCAGGGCCCACCCAGGCACCCCGTCATTCAAATGCAGACTATGGGGGTCTGGGGCCTCTCTCACACCCCAACGCCGGCTGCCAGCGTTCCCCGCTGTCTGCACACCAGGCTCAGGGAACTGGGGGGGGGCTTTGCTCCCCAGGGGAGGCTCATGGGATGCTCCCACCCCACAGTGAATGCAGAGGAAGGTGCAAACTTCCTAACGCCAAACTGGGGGGGTCAGAGGAATTGATGGGGATGTTGCAGCGGGGGAAGGGAAGCTGCCATGGTTGAAGATCATTAACCCCCTCCCCACTTAAGGGATGCGCCCTCCCACTCAGGACCCCAAAGAGGGAGGCCCCACATTTTGCTTAAGGGGGGGGA